GATGGGGCCCTGGTGACACAGTGGTTAAAAGCTCCGCTGCTAACCCAAAGGTTGGCAGTTTGAATCCACCAGCCAGCTGCTCCTTGGAAACCCTACGGGCAGTTCTACTCCATCCTAGAGGGTCGCCGTGAGTTGGAACTGACTCACCAAGTTTTTTTGTTGTTGTTGTTGTTTTGAGGAGGGTGGGTTCTAAATCAATGGCTTCTGGGTTATAAAAGAGCAGAATGGACACACAGACACACACGGGGCAGACAGACGCCACATGAGGACCATCAAGAGGCCAAGAAGTGCCTGGGGCTACAGATGCAGAAGGAACTGATGGAGCCGAGACCCTGATTTGGCTTTCAGCCTCCAGAACTGAAAGAAAACAAATCCCTGTTCTTTAAAGGCCCTGTGTGGTATCTGTGTTATGGCAGCACCAGCAGACTGAGACAGGAGGTCTTTACACACTTCTGGAAAACAAATGCTGCAGCTGGGAGCAATGTGCAATGGAGACATGACTTAAATCACAGTCATGAGCACCAGTGACTGGAAACCTGGGACGTGACACCGGCAGGGGGCCATCTTTGAGGCACGTGTTTCTGAAGGCACCTCCCCATGCCCCGCCCAGAAGCCTCGGCCAGAATGTCCTGAAAGGACAGGAGGACAAAGGATGAAATAAACTCTGGAGTCACTCTGCTTCAAACTGAAGTTGCGTGTTTCTTCTAACGTGAGTTCCAGACGGCCTACTCCATCCACCCCGTGCAGCTTACACATAACACTCCATGTCCTGGGGCTACTAAAACCCCAGGGGTTCCCGCCGTGCTCTCACAAGCAGCAGCAGCACCTGAAAACTCACTAGAAGTGCAGACCTAAGGAAGCGGAGACTCCGGGGGTGAGGCCCAGGGATCTGTCTGAGCAAGCCCTCCAGGGGCCTACAAACCCACTAAAAAGCCCGCTGTCGGCAAGTCGATTGTGACTCACGGAGACGCTACAGGACAGAGTAGAACTGCCCCACCGGGTTTCCAAGGAGTGCCTGGTAGATTTGAACTGCCTGACTTTTGGTTAGCAGCTGAGCTCTTAACCACTGCACCACCAGGGCTCCCCAGGGGCCTACAGTGCACCCTAAAGGGTGAGAACCGCGGCTGTAACCCACACAACAGATCGCTGGCGTTTACACTGGGAGCACTCGGGAGGTGTCGCCCTGCACGCCCGACTACAACCGACTCTCCCCCCATGGCCCGTCACACGCAGGAAGGTGACGGGGTCCTGACCTCACCACCAGCTGCTAGTGGGAAGCCACTCTGTGCCTCAGTGTCCCCGTGTGTATAATGAGGCTGGTGAGTCTTGACCTACTTCTCAGAGTCGTGAGGACTACGTGGCTTAAAACACGCGCAGCACGCTTAACAAACAGTAAACCGGCGATCAATGTCAGCCACCGCCGCCAAGAAGCGGTCCTGAGCCGCCGGCCTTCCTGAGCACAGCTAAAACAGAACCAAAAAACACAGCTGCACTCTGCAAAGGCAGCTCCTCGCCCCACCCAGCCTTCGTACATAGTCTGCATTAGACCTAGAATCGGAGTCCCCGGTACAGAAATGCAGTCCCCACCAAACAAAACAGAAAACCTTTTTTTTCTCTTTTTCCCCAGTTTTAGCAGAATGGAATTTGCTGGGAGCTTTCAGGGCCAAGTCTGGGGACAGGCTGAGGTCCACAGAAGAGAGCAAAGAGACAAGTGTGCCCAGATAACTCAGCAGGAAAAAGAGAAAAAGGCAGGCACTGGTCCAAAGGGGAAATGGTGACTAGGCAATTATCCTCAATACGGAGCCAGGGGAGAATTCAACTTTGCTGCATCACTGAACCTTTTGTGTTCCAGCCACATCGGCTGAGCAGAGTAACACTGGCTTCCTCTCTTTTACAGGAGAATTGTAAAAGGCGAAGGAATTTCACCCTGCAAGCTGTACAGCTATAAAGCTACCCATCTGTGTGCGGGCAGCTGCAGTCCATGGGAGAAAGCCTGGAAGTTTTCCAGGGAAAGCCCCAGGCTCACAGGAGCAGGACCACGGCTGTGGTCCACGGGAGAAAAGCGTGCAGGTTTTCCAGGGAAAGGCACAGGCTCACAGGAGCAGGGATCACAGCTATGGTCCATGGCAGA